TGCTGTGGGCTAGATATCTTTATGAAGACCCAATCCCTTCCTGCTGTCAACTCTTCCCCTCTTGACTTGACCACAGCACAGAGTGGGTGGGTGAGGAAGCCTTAGGGAACACAGAACATTCAGCTCATTGAGCTCAGCAGAGCTGCTGAACAAAAGATGGATTTATTTATGTGATGTGTGAGTAAATAACAATCTGAGTTTCACTTCTGGTGGGGTCTCAAAGGGCTTGAATGAGTAAGTTAAGGTCCTCACTTAGATTCACTTTGTGGTCGTGTTGTTTCCAGGCAAGATGGTTTGAGTGAGGCATAATGATTGTTGCTGAATGAGGGATATTGAAAAGAAAGGCCTAAAAAAACCCTCAAGTTAAGGATGAAGAAATGGATTTTGATGGCAGAAAGAAGGGGGAACTGGGTGCTTTGAGATGAGTAACAGAGGAAGTGGTGGTGGTGGTAATTTCTGCTCCTGAATGGAGATGACTCCTACTCTTCTGGGAAAGGAAGGGTGAAAATCCATTCCCAAAGGTTGAGTTTATCTTGCCAAAGATTCCTCCAATGCAGTCAGCAATAGGTGAGCTCTAGTTTTCTTCTGTAGAAAGTGGAGATGCAGTCAACGCTAGCAGGGATCCAGTATGAAGGAAAAGTTGGAGAGATTCCCTCACCCGAATGCTCTGGGTGCCAGGAGATGCACAGGGGAAGACAAGTGGACTGGGACACCAATATAAGGTGAAGATAGTTGATGGGTGGATGGATCATTGATCAAACCTTCCCCTGTTCCCATGTGGAATACCTGGAAATGCTTTGAGGACTTTGGTATCACAGTCCTAGCCAAAACCAGTAAGAGAGAGGGAAACTGTACAAAACAGGGTTAGAGGAAAGCCCATGAAGCATCCCAAGAGTGAAAGATCCCCATGTGCCTCATTCCTAGGACAGGGTGATAACTCGGAGTATCTGGTCAGGCTCCAGCTTATACTGGAAACCAGCACAGTGGTTCCATGAAATCATGACTCTAGATGTATGAAGCACCATGAAGGAACCAAACTATTTCAGGGCTAAGACCATATAGATTCAGAGAGGTTTCCTCCTTCCCTGTATCAGAATTCTCATGGTGGCTCTCACTGGGGACTCCCTCAGGTTTGGTTGTGATGAAGAACATAACACATATGTGAGAGAAAAGGAGAGAAAAACTTCTCATATTTCTGAGGCTTCATTATTTCTGCAAGCTACAACACAATACATTTGCACACACTGTACCAGGAGTTATAAATAAAGAAAATTAAACTCCCATTGACCCACTAAGCACAGCCCATTCCATGCAGTGTTTGCACTGCAAAACCTCTCCCTGACTTGGTAATTGGCACAATTTGGTGCTGTGAGGTGTGCATTGCTGCTGATAGGAGTAATTGGCAAGGGGGGAGGGTGTTATTTTAAAGAGTCTGAGTCATTTGAAAGCATTTAAGGGCCAAGATGAAGCTACACACACAGAATGAATCAACAGTGATTCTCAGGGGTCTGAACCAGCTCCCTTAGAGTCAGGCAAAAGGCTTAATTTCTGCTATACCAAAGGCAAAAGGGATGGAATTATGCCCTTCATTGGGGCTTTTCCAACCTAGGTGATGTCCAAAGGGTAAAGACAAAGTGCCTCCACTGGAAAATGCCCAGGATAACTCATAGCACAAGTGCCATGAGGAGAGGCTGAGGGAGCTGGGGGTGTTCAGCCTGGAGAAGAGGAGGCTCAGGGGAGACCTCATCACCCTCTGCAACTCCCTGACAGGAGGTTGGAGTCAAGTGGGGGTTGGTCTCTTCTCCCAGGCAACCAGCAGCAGGACAAGAGGGCACAGACTCAAGCTCTGCCAGGGGAGGGTTAGGTTGGATATTAGGAAGAGATTTTTTACAGAGAGAGTGATGAGGCATTGGTATGTGCTGCCCAGGGAGGTGGTGGATTCACCATCCCTGGAGGTTTTCAAGGTGAGACTGGATGTGGCACTTAGTGCCATGGTCTGGTGACCACAGTAGGGTTGGACTTGATGATCTTGGAGGTCTTTTCCAACCTGGTTTATTCTATGATTCTTTTTTAAGGACTCTTCTGCTTGGATCTGCTCTGAGCAGGTTGATGTTTTCCCCTCCAAAACACACACCTGGCCAAGCACCCAAAGCTTGACACAGGCTGCAAAATGAGTGCTGTGCTTGAATTGAAACCCAGAGCCTGGTCCAAGCTCTGAGCTTTTATGCAGCACATCACCCAATGAAATTGCCTTTTCCCCTCCCCATTTCAATTAGAAAGAACATTAGGTCAATCAGATAAAGCCACATTGGGAGGATTTCCTCTTTATGGCGCTTGCCTCTTCAATTATCTATAATGAACTTCCTCACAGCACTGCAAAGCTTTTTATATGCAAACGAATCCTGGTTTGGGGCTGCCTCAATCACTGCTTGTTAATGAACTTGAAACAAGTGTTATCGGGAAGGTTACAGCACCAGTGGTGGAGGGGGACAGGATAAAGCTACAGAAGAAAGCCCAGGCTGAAGAGCTAGGATTGGCCTGCAGGTAACATAGTGGACTATCTCCAACCTCCATCCTCCAGCTCCCATCAGAGGCTTTTCTGTTTGACAGACATCAAGGAAAATGCCCACTCCTGGGAAACGGCTGCTCAGCGTCAGATAGAGCTTTCCCAGCCTCCTGTCCCACTGATTGGCTCTGCCAGTGAATCTCTCTCTCAGCTCCCATGGCTGGGGACAAAAAAATTGGAGAGGCTGTTTCCAAGGCCTTTTCTTATTCCAGGAGAAAGAGAGGAAACTGGTGGAGAGGCCCCAAGACATGTTGGGCAGGGGAAGGGTCAGAGGGTGTTGAAGGCATAGAGTCCCAAATGGTGTTTACACATAGTATCTGTTGGCATGATCAGCACTGGAAACTATCTCTTACTGTACTATGGCCCAGACCACCTCCTTCCCCTGCCCTCTGTGTTTTTGTAGGTCTAAGTCACCCAGAGTTGTAGATTATGCCTCACTTTCTCCTGCTGAGTAGCTACTAAACCCTGCAGCGACCCTTAACTCTGGTGTGCCAGGGTATGGTAGGACCATTGAACCCAAGGTTGGGAAGACTTTCTAAGCCTCAGTCCTTGATAGCAGGTATCAAACGAGGCCTTGTGCCAGAGTAGCTCAGGCTAGTGGCCACCAGACCCAAGATGGTTCACCTCCACCAGCTCCAGTGACTGTCCCTGGCTGTCCTGGTTCTGGTGCTAACCTGGGCAATGCCAATTTAGGTCCATCAGTAGCTTTCAGCTACTTACACTGGGAGCATCAGTCTAGAAGTGCAGATGAGAAATCACGTGGCCCTAAAGGACTCTTCAGTCTGACATCCCCACTAGGACAGACAGACCCTCCTTGGGACTGAGGAAGATTTCTGGACTTCACTGCAGGGACTCATTGGGAGGTTACTGGATTTTCTTCCTGTCCCTGGCCATGGATCAGCTCACACCCTCATTGTGATAACTGATGGCTCCTGTAATTCCACTTCTGGTTGGTGTCAGTGCAGATGTTACTTGTCTAACCCATTTCTTTATCTCCCTAAGCTATTTGCTTCAGTAAGATGCTCCCACCATCTGCTCTAACAAGCTCCCAGGCTCTCAATAAGTTACTGGATTTTCTTCCTGTCCCTGGCCATGGATCAGCTCACACCCTCATTGTGATAACTGATGGCTCCTGTAATTCCACTTCTGGTTGGTGTCAGTGCAGATGTTACTTGTCTAACCCATTTCTTTATCTCCCTAAGCTATTTGCTTCAGTAAGATGCTCCCACCATCTGCTCTAACAAGCTCCCAGGCTCTCAATAAGAATTCCACTT